TTCTTTCTACCAATATTTATATAACCACGGTTTTCACACATTTCCCAACTTGTGATGTTAATGTAATATAAACATGATTTATAAACTTCTCACATTGTGACACATACTGAATTGTAAATTTCGAAAGAATGCCGATAATCTGTCTTGTAGGTGGCTGTTGTGGCAATCAAAACAATTCCCTGGGAGCAGTAATGTAGATTCAGAGCAGTATTGTTGTCGATCCTCCGGGTCGCCGCCATGCCCATGGCCAACAGCCTCGAGTTGCAAAATCTCTTTCTGAGTGTATTGGTTCGAACTGACCAGGCCATATTTCTTGTGCCTCATCAGCTCCTTCAATGTCGTTTTCTTTGTCAAATGGACATGACAACTGATCGCTGTGATCAGAAAAAGCAATAACACTGGAATTATCGGCGCTTGAGTTTGACATGATTGCAAAGTCCAATGCTAACACTTCTACATAATGTACATGTACTGTACATGTCTACGCGTCATTACATAACAGGGAACAGTCGCCGGATAAAAGACTCTGTCCTGCGGCGTCACGATTCTTTGGAATTTCTTTGGACAACTTTCAATACCTGACAGCTGTTGTAGCTTTTGCTTCCAGAACGGAGTGAAATAGGGTCATGAAAAACTATAATTTTTAACATATTTCCGCACATTTTGAAATATTCAGATGTGTTTTCTTGCTATATATATTTGTTTTATGTGCTGGTGCATGTTTTAAAAGAAATCTCCACAGCAAAGATTATCCCCTTTAAGCAGTAGTGTTACTGCTCCAATTAATTGCAAGTTGAATTAAGTTTTGGGGGGACACATCTACATGTACTATAAGGTTATGCTTTGTGTAACTTTGATGACTGTACTGACATACGTACATGTAGTGTTGGCCTACATTTACCGTACATCTACAGGTACATGTGTCTTTGGCATAATGATACATGTAGGGCCCACACACACCATGCCACTGTGATCTTGGACTGGTCCCCGTCCTTATTGATCTATTCATAAGCTGTGAGACGTCTGGGCACCATGCATGGAATGGGGACCTGCGTGATATCCACGGTGCGGAGCTGGAGTACTTTAGAATTCATTATGAAGCACAAGGGTGCGGGCAGTTTTATAAATGATTATAAATAGATTTATTCCTGGACACTTGTTGGCAAGGAAAAACTAACAGAAGAATCCCACCAGAAAGTGATCCAGATGGCCACGTTCTCGCATTTTGTTCTCCAACTCACCATTGAAGAATGCAGAAGACACATTCCTCGCAGAGAGACCTTTGATACAAATTTGACAACAGCAGTGATTACTTGCTTACAACATTGCACCACAACTAAATTGTAACTGTTGAAACAATTGACAAAGTTTTTTATTCAATGTACATTGCTTAGGTATTCTTTCTTGTACCTGTGTGTCTTGTCAATTTGAAGGTACCATTATAGGACTCAGAAAAGCCAGAAAAGCTGACCCATGAGTGGTTCCTGTTAAAAACATAGAAAAGAAAATTGTTTAACCAACGGAGGGAGGCAGGTACTTGACATTTTGATTTACACACTGTACCGAGGGCGGTCCACTGCAACAGTAAAAAAAAATGGGCTTCAACAATTATAACATTTGCCGCATTTCTACCACACAATAATTCTAAATTCGCACCACGTGAAATTGTGCTTCATAATTCACATTTGTCATGCTTTACCTTCCACAGTAGGCCAGTGATGTCATAAATGGCCATGCAAAATAATTTTGATCGGATGCTGATCAAAGTCACACTCATGCATGATCAGAGGCAACACCAGAAGGAATAGTTATTTAGCAAGGCGTGCAGGTGTAGCACTCTACCACACAACAAGTGCATTGTACATGAGGGTACATTTACGTGTCCAAACTCAAACCAAAGTTCAGAAAAAAATTCCAAACTGTGTATTAAACAGAACCGAACCAAACCTTCACTTCTGGCACCTGCCCGGTAGGTGCAGCACTAAGGCATACACAAATCAAGTAAACATGCACAATCCACATTGGCTATTGACGCATACATGTACATGTATAGAATAGGGTCATGACACGACTTATTGAAAACATGTCCACAATACGTTTGTGCATGTTCATGAGTTCCACACATACAGACCCCTTGATTATGTGCCCAAATTCCAAAAATACAATGAGGCCTACATATATACAGCATCAGTCCTAACTACCTACAATGTATAGTTTGGCCCGTTTAACCTACATGTACATATACATGTAGATTGCTAAAGTCGGGCAGGCCAAACTACAACACAGAGGTCTAGAGGGCATGTATGTGTTACGCCCCAACTATAGCATCAGTCCCAACTATTGTTAGGCCCTGTCACAAGTCAGTGATAGTTTACGCCAACTGTTTGATTAATTTAAAGACACAAACTGTATGCTGCCAAGTTGGCAAAATTTCCTTATATGCCCTGTTATGCAAATAAGGTGCGGTCCTGTATGGTTCACACCCGCATGGGTACATGCCAGGCATGGGGACCTGAATAGTGTTTTATAGTGCCTGCTCACTGAGGCGTTGTCCAGCAGGGGTAGCCTTAAATACTGGGGTGTGGTTCTGTGTGACACACACTGACAGGCCTGTGGTAAGATAGCACAAGTTTGAGCGATAGCCCTGGAGCCAGAATTTTATTTAGCCTTCAACCTTGTTGATGTGGATTGGAAATCCTGTGTTGGCGGTAGCCATAAGTTGGGAGAGCGATTTGCTGCCCCAAATTTTCAGGAGAAAAGTTAAAGGAGAAAAGGCAGGCTGTGACAATTTTCAGTGTGCTGTAAGACCTCATATGTGCCATATTTTAGAGGAATGGTGTCAATTGTGAGCATAAATGTGGCCAAGGTTGAGAAATTTTCTACAGAGACTGAATAAGCCAGCCCTACTGCAGACCTACAGTTGGGACTCTCTCTCCTAACTATACTTGGGGTGTGACAAGACTGACTTGAAATAAACCCAGGGAATAAGCATCCAGCTACTTTGCCGAATGCCGTTCAGGTTTCTGTAAACACATGCCGTGCTGGGAACCCCTAGCTCTTCCCATTTGAAGAGGCTTGTAGTTTGTATATGTTTTCTCAAGCTCAACTGATGAGGCAAATTGGAAATTGTGTGAAGATGAGATGGTCAGTGTTGTTAGGGGCATGAGAGGAGAAAAGAGGAAATGGGGCAAAGTTACTGCACAGTATCTACCAGGCATACATGTAGGCCCAACTGCTAACATAAATTCTACAAAGTAAGCTATAACATAAGGAAAACTTACACAAGATTACACTGCAGTTCCAATATTCTCCTCTCAAGGAAGACACAATCTGCAGCCTCCACCGCCTGCCTCCCTTGGCTGACCATATAATGACCAACTTGTTTTGGCATTCCCGTACACACTGTACTTGTATATAATGTCACACTTCTTGCACCGTACCGACAGCTTCTTTCCCTCTTTCAGACCTTTAACTGTGAAGACCTTCTACACCACAAATTTGTGGTGCTGCCACAGTTTGTTAAAACAAAATTAAACAGTTGCCACAGGGAGGAAGCC